AGCCAGGCCTGTCCAATCAACAGGATCGCCTGCTGGGACACACGCAGACCCTGTCCATCACAGACAAGGTCAGAAAGTCTTCTTCAGAGGAGGCTCACAGTTGTAAAGAAAGCACAGGCAGCTTGGAACCCCCACAGTCACACAGCCCTACAGAACCGTCTCCCCTCTTCTGCTGTGTTGACAGAGTTTGATGTTTTCTACAGAGAAAACAGCCAAACTCTGCAACTGAAACCTGAGAGATGATCTTGATGAGCATCTCCATGCCCTCACAGCAGATAGAACAAGAATAGCTCTGGTAATTAGCTTTTATGGTTTGTCTTTAAATTGTATTGGCACAACTGGAAATATTCTTCCAAATCTACTATTTATATATTTATTCATATCATACTGATATATAGTGGAAAAACAGTTTTTATGCCACAAAAGGACTTAAGCTTCCTTTATAGATCGGTCCTCTATTACTTTTATTGTCCTGTTTGTGATCGTTGTTAATTTGAACTGCATTTTCAGTGAAGGAAGTCTCAAGTCTGTCATCTGTGTCTTGTGAATAACAAAGCTACATCTCCACTCTGACACCACCCATCTCTACAGAAATGTGAACAGATGCCTGCGCTCAGAGCATCCAGCCAATATGTAAGCTCCAGTAGAATTGAAATGCATCGCCCTTGACATGGCAAAAGTGAACGGGGACATTTTGCACCAGTACAAACGTTTACATAGACATTTATATTTCATTGTGTTGAATCTGTCTGGTTTTGAACAAAACGTCTACAGTGTCCGCAGGCCTGAGAAGCAGGCTTGCTACAGTAGGTATCACTCAAGCAAGTGAACAGACAATTAAAACTCAGCTGGAATAAAGCTCTTTAACCTGAGTGCACGGAGAGAGGAGCAGTGCATAAGTGGCTGCACTGTGCGCTCTGAATGCAACACGCTCTTAGCTTTCATTTTTACAGCATGTGAAGGTGTGAGGCTTCTTTCTGCCACTGGTTCTACCTGTGGATATAAGAACCAATAAGCGCTGCATTTTGAAGGCTGATGCTTTGATAATGTTTGTAAGAATCAGTCCCTACTAGGGGAACAAGTGGCATTTAAAGAATAGATCCACGTTTTCAGACAATAGTCTGCTGTCTACAGAGGGGAAGGGCTAATAACTCCTTCCTAATCCCTTCCTAATGCACTCTCATAGGAAATGATGAAATCCTTCAGTTTATAAATGCATAATATAATATATTTCAACGTTACAGTTGTTTTGGTGCAAAACTCCCTTTTAATGTTAAAGTCTCTCCAGCAGCACTGTCCAGATACGCATTACGAGTGAATTTAATACTAGAGAGATATTAAACATAAGTATACCTATAAATAAAAAATAAACAAAACAAAATAAAAAAGAAAGCAGACAAATCAAGTGAGCTCAAATTTTGTTTATCATTTAATTTGTCTGCTTTTCTAAAACAATGGATAAAATAAGCGCCAATAAAAATAGAAGCTATGTGACACCTCACAACAAAATGCTAGCTCAGGCAACAGCTGCATATCTCAGCATCCAGCTCTGCTGCGACAGCTGCTGAGCTGCAGTTTCCTTGATGACCACACGGAGTCAGAGTCACACAACAAACAGGCAGATGTGCTCAGATGCTCAGAGGCCGGCCTTGAATTACAGCATGAAAAATAGCTCTCCTGTTATTTTGTCTGAAATCCCACTCCATCGATCCCTTTGAAGTGCATGTTTTTAAAGTTATACTTTGGTACGATTTCAGTGCCTTTGATCCTTCTTCATCTGACGTGTCCTACAGTATCACAATTACAGTCCCACAGACATTAACTGTTATAGCTGTAGAACGAGCAAAGCTTTGATAAAACATAAAACATAACTCCGAGGACATGGAAAAATGAGATCTTGAACTTTGATTGCTATTACGTGTGCCCCTCTCACCACCTCAGTGAAACTCTTCCAGATCAAAGAGCATGATGCAGCCCGGCTGAAATACACTTGGAACAGCTCCAGCTCCAAATCTGTGACCTTAACGGGGACTGATGAGGCAAACATGTGTTTTACTCAAAGGGACATCATCAGTGTTCACGTTGTCCACAGCCATTAGTCGGATTGTTCTCATCTTACAAATCTGGTTATCAAATAACATAAAAGCATCCACTGCAGCTCTATAATAGCTGAAACACACAAACACACATGCACTCACCTCTGTGTGATCCTTTTGCCTGGTCACCAAAGAGGAGAGGTGGCACAGGGTGCTGGGTTGATCCATGTTACTGCAGGTATCAGTGTCCGGCAGTGGCCAGCAGGGAGCGCTCTCTCCTAACATCACTCTCTCTCACACTGAGGCGGGCTGCCACACTCCTCCCCATCTCCTAGCAACCTCAGTACCCTGCCTCCAATCACTACGGATACCGGGAGGGATGGAGGGGGGGTGGGAGAGTGTGAAAGAGGAGGAGGAGGAGAGGCTGGCTCAGCATCAGCATCCAGAGCAGCAAAATTGATAGAGTGTGCAAAGCCTGAGTGGCAGGTAACAAGTGGATACAAGGATTTTGGAGGTGGATCACTGTGGGGAGGGGTGATATCTGAGTGGGAGGGGTGAATCATGGAGGCAGCGTCCTCAGGGACACACTGAGATTATAATTCAAATCAGCCATATTAGAGACTGTGAAGTGCAGGACAATGCCATCAACTCTGTTCTGTCCTTGTGGCTCGTTGTGGTCCTCTACGCTCCACTCTTCCAGTCCATTGTCCCCAGTGATTTATGCTTCCCTCACACTCACGGAGTGTGCACAGAGAAAAACAAAGTGCACATAAAAACAGTACAACCCTACACCACACATTTACCCCGCCATGCTGGAGAGGCGACACACATGTCCCATGAGGAGAATATATAGCGGGCTGCATATACTGTATGTCATGCATGCCTACAGAAAGAAAGCGCACTTCACACACCCACACAAGCTCGTCACTCACAACACACAAGCTTTCACACACTCCTCATGTGATGCAACAGTGACCTTAGACGCTGGATCTCTCCCCCTGTGCGGCAGTCATGTGAAGCTGCACCACACAGACACATGCATGACGGGGCTCAGTCAGGAAGCCTGAACCACTGTCAGGGTGACACACAACAGGAGGCAGCAAATGCTTTATTGATGCATTATAATTCTGCAATCCTACATTTTGTAGTAGAACATCTGTAGCGGTCGGAAAAAGAGATGGCAGGTATTTTACACAGTGGCCTGTTTTTCTGAAGCGACTCCTGTCGCTTGCTACATTTTGCACTGGAAAAAA